ATTTATGATATCTCGGATTTCTATATAACACATTTTTGAATAATTTATGAATTAATAATATAAAGTTATGTATTGATTTAGATCCCATTTAAAATTGTAATACTTAATAACAATAAAACGTAGCTTTAAAAACTGATGACAACACTTGCAATATCAGAAACAGCTGTACACTCAAGCCTGCTACTTATCTTTGACAAGATCGTTGTTTGTTCTTGGCATAATGTCACATTTTAATTAATTAATTTAAATAAAGGTAAAATCCTTTAAATTTTATGAATTTAAACCCAGAATAGTACTTCAAACTCGTAATAAAACTTTTAATACCTTCCACTTAAATTAATTTCCAATCTTAACATTTGATTGCCTGCCAAACAAAACTGAATTCAAACTGACACGTTGTCTATACTCCAACCAGGCGTTATAAATTGTTAATAAGCAGTGGCAATAATTCCTGTGGTGTATGTGACCATAAAACAATAATTGAAATTTCATTCGAGAAGCAAAAATTAAAAACGAACAAAAGTTCCCCGTTTGTATTGCACAAAAACCTGTATAACTTCCAATTAATTTCATTTAGCATAAGGTAGATAAATTCTCAGCTTTTCAACTTCCAGATATCGAACCAAATCTCAAACTCTTGTTCAAAATACTTAGAAAAGAAGCGATTAAGTAAAACCTTGAGCAAGCAATGCTCCCCACATCCGTAAGATACTTATATGTATCTCGTCGCAGGGTAATATCCATAATTATAGTTTTCAGAGATTTCGCAGTATTATGACTGTTAAGATCTCGAGTTGGATTCGCTAATTGGGTTAGCGTGTTAGCTAAGTAAAGATTTTTGCGCTCTTGAAGCGATAATCGCCTGAGTCAGCCACTTCTTGGAGTGCCACGGAGAGGAGGAGAACAAGTCCGTCTGCCACGTGCTAAAAATAACAGGCATTCTCCACATAGCCAAGCCAAGTATTTTTTTGTGGTAGAAAGAAGTTGGAAGCAGTTTAAATTTTAAAATACACTTTCCAGAGAGTATAATGTATATATCCTAATCCTATTTTTACAATTAAATGTCTCATTTTATGGCTAAATATTATATCATAATCACTTAATCGTTCTTGAATCGGAGTAAACACATTTCTGTGTAAATCAGAAAATGATTTATGAGGCTTAGATCAATTTAAATTGAGTTAAAGCCACAAACTAGTTTTTTTTAAACCAGTGACAGTGATTTACTTAGGCATTTACAGGTGACAAATGGAATGAGCAAATCTTTATTTAAATTTATTAAACGTAACATGTATTTATCAAGCCAAGAAAATCACACTTTTTCAATAAAAACAGACACTAATATTGAGCTAGAATCAGGGCATCAGGCTTCGTCTATATATCCCTTAAGATGACTGGAGTTTTTTGGACCTTGTTGTGTTAGGAGATGGCTCCTCGAGTGTGTGTGCAAAACCGTGTTTGTATCTGTGTTTTGGGGCCTGCCGTTGCTTGCAATTATTTACAAAAGCCAACGGCAGCAGCAGCAAAAGTAAATTGAAAACAGGTTTTTGTTAAAAAAAAATGAGAGAAAAAAAGTAAACGCAGGAAAAAATCCGAACAGAAAACATTGAAACCTCTTTGGTAGAGCTTTTTTTATCGGGAGTTTGTGCGCGTTTTTTTATGGTCACCTTAGCAGAGTTTTGCTCGATTTGGGAAATGCATCCACAAACGCCTCGTTTTGGCCCGGTTATCAGCCGTCAGGGGGAGGTTAATGTTATGGCCAAGCAAAAGCAAAAGGTTTCACAGACGCCCAGACGTGACTCTCCGCTGAGTCGCTCGTAAATGGTTAAATGATTAACCAAATGAGCGTTTTTTCTACATTTTTTACCCCTTTTATTATTATTACTTTTTGCCTTTAGTTTTACCATTTGCAATTTTCTGTTGTGGGCTGTGTGTGTTATGGAATAATTAAAAAACACAACAACTTGTAAACAATTTCACTTTTTCTTTTGTCTCTTCGATGTGGGCCACACTCTCAACTGGCTCAATTGAAGTGACGCAATTGGGTTTAAGAGCCGCCGGAATCGCAAATGGCGAACACGTTCCGATTTATAGAGGGCCCTCGATCTGATCCACTTTTGTTGGTTATTAACTTTCAGGCCGCCTACATGATCGTGGACGAGATGCACGAGGAGCATCCGGAGCTGCTGCGCGATCAGTACTGGGAGTGCGTGGTGCCCAAGGATCTGCCCTATACAGTGGCCTCGGAGCACTATCGCAAGGATGAGCCCAAGGGATCGGCGGAGAAGTACAAGGTGAAGAAGGAGGATGCCATGTATGCCAACATAATGCCGGGTGGCGGCAAAAGGATGCTCAGCGATGATGTCTATGCGGATTATGTGAGTAATCAGAGGGATTATACCCATCAGGGGACATATTCAATATAATACTTTGCAATTTAAAACAGGAAAGCGTCGACACTCCCATGGTAGAACGGCGGAAAAACAACTGGCTAGTGCGTCAGCTCTCCCGCATGGGATCGATGCGTAGCCAGTCGACGGCCTACTCCTCCGGCGGACTCCCCTTCAACCGGAATCGCCTGAACTCTGTGTATTCTAGTCCCGAGTCCGGATTGCCATTGACCATCCTGCAGCAGCAGCAATTGCAGCAGGCGCAGCAGCAGCAGCAACAGCAGACGGGATCGCAGCCTAGTAAGTCCAGTCTCTATGGCAAGTTTGTGCATCGCAAGTCGCTCAGAGCTCAGAGGCAGTTGATTAAGCAAAGTAAGTATTTACAAATGCTACAATTAATAATTAAAAACAAAAATTAAACTATCTTAAGAACCCCAAAAGTATGCTTATAATATGTTCTTTCCCCTCTCAACAGATTCCAAACTAAATGGCTTAAATGTAAATGTGGCCAAGACCACTAGACCCAGGATACCCACGCCCGAGGTGACCAAGGATGGCAACACCAATCCAGGTGAGTAATATCCTTAAGTTAAGCACCAGCAAAGCTCTTCTTTCTAAATGGCACCACTTCACTTGACCTTGTAGCCACCAGCTCGGTCTTAATGGCACCGCAGCAGCTGAGCACTCCCAGCGCACCCCCACCGGGCATGTTCCCATCCTCCTACGCACCCGACACCCTACTGCACCACCAGGAGAGCGGCCAGGTGCTGGGCACGCTGCTCCTCTCGCCCATCAAAGAGATGGATAGCTCATCGTCCAATAACACTCTGATTCCAGGACATCCAGCCACAGCAGCTCTGGCAGCCAGCATGAAGGAGGGATATGCGGCAAGCAGTGAGTATTGAGAGGGGATAACGTGGGGAACTCTTATTTAAGTTTTCAATTTTCGATTCTTAGATATTCCGGCAGCCACGAACATTACCACGCTATCGTTCCCCTTCACCGTGACCAGCACGAGCGGTGGGGAAACAATGCCCACGGGCACCCTGAGCATCCTGCCGATCACAGCCAATGCCCAGTTGCCCACCATCACCACCACGGCGAGTGGTTATGATGCCAACGATGTGATCACCACCATACCGGTGTCCCTGTCCATCCAGCGATCCCCCTCCGCCTTGTCCATTGTGGAGCTTACTGGAAGCGATGTCCAAGATGGTTATGGCAATGGCGGTTCTGGCAATGGCAATGGTGGTGGCATCACCACCACAGCTTTGCTCTCCGTGAAGCCACTGAATGGTCATTCGAACATCTCCAGAAACAATAGCTTCAACTTGAGCCTGAACCTGCAGGATCAACAGCAACAGCGATCCTCGGTGAGATCCACAGGACCCACGGACACGGTAGACACGGCGGCATCATTGCCCACGATTAGCCTGTCGCAGAAACCCACCGAAACGGGAGGATCTTCAGCGCCCTCAACGCTGGCCAAGCACAAGCCGGAGCAGAAAACTGGAGAGGTCTATGTGTGACACTCGCCAGAGAGGAGAAATCGATAGAAAATCGAAATCGAATTAGGTTTAAGGCCCAATGGCACTAAGCCGCCCAGAACCAATAAGATGATATTAACAGTAGCCTTGAAAATGGATGTATCTGATTTAGATACAAGCTGGTGTGACCCATAGCTGCATTACTCTTGTTAAATATATTTTTGAGGAAGGATAGAAGCAACATATGCCACTAAGAATTTAAATTCATAGAAAACATAATGATAATTAAGAAGAAATCAAACAATGGAACAGCTATTGGACTATGCAAATAGAAACAACTCTTTCGCGGTCCTTATAAAAACTTTAAATTCAATTTTAAGATCGTGTCATATTCATTTCTCGATATTTTTCCTCAAAATTAAAATATAAATCAGTGTCCAATTACAGCTCAATATAATTCTAGCAAAATGCAATAATCACATTACCAATCACATATAGTAACTGTATAATAGTTTATTGTATATAATATTTAGCATATTTAATAAGAAATTGACTTATTGTTTTGGCACTTGCCATATATCTTTGCTAAGAGCTAAATTCTTCGCGAATCTTTATAAAGAATCTCTATCTCGTGTAGGCCGTGTAAATACTTGTAAACCAACACAGTATGTGATATGCGATTGTTATCCAGCTAGTTTTTGTATCTTTACAAGTAGAGATATCTATTTTTAGGCATAAGTTTATATATTTTGTAAAAATAATCCCACTAAACGTAAGTCTACCTTAAATGTAGGAAATCTATACCATTTTTTGCCCTTGTACAGATGAAGAGGCGACCTCTTGCAGTTATATATATGTATACCTTGAAATAAAATCCTTTCACTTAACAAGAGAATAGTGACTCTACATTTTGGTTGTTAAAAGAGATATGGAAGAGACTCTTCGGAATCCATTTAGACTCTTCCAACCTACCCCAAGAGACGTAGGAGAGAAAGATCAATTAGAATTTGAACCCAATGCCTGATATATGTGTACCCAAGAAAATTTAAATGGCAGAGAAGCTGGAATTCTGCAGTCAGTTGCGCTTGAGAGCTCAGGCGGTCACCATCTTCGGTTCATACAAAACCTAACCATCTTCGATAGAACCCAAAGTGAAGAACAAATCACAAAAAGTGTCAATAAAAAGGTGAATATCCCAAGGCAAAGGTATAGAATTCACTCTTTCGAAGCGTGTGACCTACAAACTGGCTGTCCAATTTAACCAGGAATGTGTCCAATAATATATATTCCATCACTTGACCCCGCGGGTCAATAAGAACTATGTGAGAGAAATACAAACTTGCATGTGGCGGCAGAGTGTTGCCTAATTGAATTAACCTTTTGTCTGGTCCCGGGAGAAATCTTGACCACGGATCGATGGACCATTGAATAATAAAGCATCTTTAATTGCCATTCCGTCAGTGACCAGTGTCGATCATGGATCGCGATGAGGTCTCTACGACGACCACCAGCGAGGGCAAGTCCCAGGAGGAGGCTCCGCCGGCAGAAGGACTGGAGCCCACGCAACCCATTAGCTTCCTGACCCTCTTCAGGTTCTCCACTTATGGTGAGATAGCTTGGCTCTTCTTTGGCTTCATCAGTTGCTGCATCAAGGCCTTGACCCTGCCCGCCGTGGTCATCATCTACAGCGAGTTCACCTCCATGCTGGTGGACCGAGCCATGGAGATTGGCACTAGCTCCAAGGTCCATGCATTGCCCCTCTTCGGAGGCGGTAAGATTCTGTAAGTTGGCGTAGATAAATAACCACAAATTCGTAGAAAATAACCCCAAAAATACTTTCAGCACCAATGCCACTCATGAGGAGAACAGCGAGGCCTTGTATGATGACTCCATCTCGTATGGCATTCTCCTGACCATTGCCTCGGTGGTAATGTTTATTTCCGGAATCTTTTCCGTGGACATCTTCAATGTGGTAGCCCTGCGTCAGGTCACCAGAATGAGGATAATGCTCTTTTCCTCTGTGATGCGTCAGGATATTGGCTGGCATGATCTGGCCAGCAAGCAAAATTTTACCCAGAGTATGGTAGAGTAAGTTTAGCTGGAGTTATCTATCCAAGGAGAATCTTATTATCTTCTCTGTTTTCTTTCAGCGATGTGGAGAAGATTCGCGATGGCATCTCCGAGAAAGTGGGTCACTTTGTGTACTTGGTGGTGGGCTTCATCATCACCGTGGCCATTTCCTTTGCCTACGGCTGGAAGCTTACCCTGGCTGTGAGCTCGTACATTCCGCTGGTGATTCTGGTCAATTACTATGTGGCCAAGGTGGGGACAATCTTTCTCTACTATTTTTCATAAGAGCTTCTTAAATGTTTCCTTTTTATTTAATCCCAGTTCCAAGGCAACTTGACCGCCCGCGAACAAGAGTCCTATGCCGGAGCTGGCAACTTGGCTGAGGAGATCCTGGGTGCCATTCGCACTGTGGTCTCTTTTGGTGGCGAAAAGGCGGAAGTTGAACGCTATGAGAACTTCCTGGTTCCTGCTCGTAAGGCCAGTCAGTGGAAGGGAGCCTTTTCCGGAGTCAGTGATGCTTTATTAAAGTCCATGCTATATCTGTCCTGTGCCGGAGCCTTCTGGTATGGCGTCAATCTTATCATAGACGATCGTGGAGTGGAAGATAAGGAGTATACGCCAGCTATTCTTATGATTGTAAGATACAGAACACTTAGCTTGAGGCATATACCTAATCCTTCATGTACATTCAGGCCTTCTTTGGCATCATTGTTGGAGCAGATAACATAGCCAGGACCGCGCCCTTTCTGGAATCCTTTGCCACCGCCCGGGGCAGTGCCACTAATCTCTTCAAGGTCATTGATCTCACCTCCAAGATCGATCCCCTCTCCACAGATGGCAAGCTCTTGAACTATGGTCTTCGCGGCGATGTGGAGTTCCAGGATGTGTTCTTTAGATATCCCTCTCGTCCTGAGATTATAGTTCACAGAGGCTTGAATATCAGAATCAGAGCGGGTCAAACGGTGGCTCTGGTGGGTTCTTCAGGCTGTGGAAAGTCCACCTGTGTGCAGTTGCTCCAGAGATTCTATGATCCTGTCTTTGGCGCTGTCTTACTGGACGATCTGGATATAAGGAAATATAATATCCAGTGGCTCAGATCCAATATTGCGGTAGTGGGTCAGGAGCCAGTGTTGTTTTTGGGAACTATAGGTGAGTTATAGATTACTTTTTAATTTCCATAATAAGATAAGTTCCTCAACAGCCCAAAACATCAGCTATGGCAAACCAGGAGCGACGCAGAAGGAAATAGAAGCAGCTGCCACGCAAGCAGGAGCCCATGAGTTTATCACCAATCTGCCAGAGGTGAGTTTGTTAACATTTATGCCATAAGCAATTGATTAAAATGGATTAATCCGACAGAGCTATCGCACCATGATCGGTGAGCGTGGATCTCAGCTCTCTGGAGGCCAGAAACAACGGATTGCTATTGCTCGTGCCCTCATCCAGAACCCCAAAATCCTGCTGCTGGACGAGGCCACCTCTGCTTTGGATTACCATTCGGAAAAGCAGGTTCAACAGGCCTTGGACTTGGCCAGCAAAGGTCGGACTACGATTGTGGTCTCCCACAGACTGTCAGCAATTCGGGGAGCAGACAAGATCGTCTTCATTCACGATGGCAAGGTGCTGGAGGAGGGATCCCACGATGACCTAATGGCCCTGGAGGGCGCCTACTACAACATGGTTCGTGCCGGAGACATCAAAATGCCTGAAGAGGCAGAGAAAGAGGAGAGCACGGAACAGGATGCGAAGCGTAAGGATATGGTGAAGAAATTTTGGACTAATTTTTATATAAAACCAACATCGTTACAGGCAAGAGCCTAGCTCTCTTTGAGAAATCTTTCGAGACAAGTCCTTTAAATTTTGAGAAGGGCCAGAAGATCAGTGTCCAGTTCGATGAGCCTATAGTAAAGCCCCAAGCTAAGGATACCAATACTCTAGTAGTGGCAGAGGCGGCACCTGCAGTTGAACAACCCCAGTTTTTCAGGACCTTCATCAGGATACTGAAGCTTGCCCGACCAGAATGGTGCTACCTCATACTGGGCACCATCAGTGCCATTGGCGTGGGTTGTCTGTATCCTGCTTTTGCCATTATCTTTGGTGAATTTTATGCAGCTCTCGCGGAACAGGATCCCGAGGATGCTCTGCGCCGTACGGCAGTTCTTTCTTGGGCCTGTCTCGGTATTGCTTTCTTAACAGGATTGATTTGCTTCCTGCAAACCTATCTCTTCAACTACGCTGGCATTTGGCTGACTACAAGAATGCGGGCCATGACGTTTAGGGCGATGGTGAGCCAGGAGATCAGCTGGTTCGATGATGAGAACAACTCCGTGGGAGCTCTGTCTGCTCGTCTCTCCGGAGAGGCAGTGGGTGTCCAGGGCGCCATTGGTTACCCGCTGAGTGGCATGATCCAGGCCTTGACCAACTTCATCTCGAGTGTTACCGTGGCTATGTACTACAATTGGAAGCTGGCTCTGTTGTGCCTGGCCAACTGCCCCATTATTGTGGGTTCTGTGATCCTGGAAGCCAAGTGGGTTTAAAGTCATTTTATAGTTAAGAATTTCTTTATATATTTTCAAAACCTATTTCCAGGATGATGTCCACGGCCATTGTTCGTGAAAAGCAGGTGATCGAGGAAGCCTGCAGGATTGCCACTGAGGCAATCACCAATATCAGGACAGTGGCAGGACTGAGAAGAGAAGCGGATGTCATTAGGGAGTACACCGAGGAGATTCAGCGAGTGGAGGTGCTTATTCGCCAGAAGCTGAGGTGGCGAGGAGTCCTGAACTCAACCATGCAGGCCTCGGCATTCTTTGCCTACGCAGTGGCCCTTTGCTATGGCGGTGTTCTGGTGTCTGAGGGTCAGGTGCCCTTCCAGGATATTATCAAGTGAGAGAGGGATATGATATAATTATTGATCATCTGGAACTTCACATTAACTATCCTTTTAGGGTCTCTGAAACCCTGCTTTATGGGTCCATGATGTTGGCCCAATCCCTGGCCTTTACCCCAGCGTTCTCAGCCGCCTTAGTGGCGGGCCATCGGCTCTTCCAGATCCTGGATCGCAAACCCAAGATCACTTCTCCCATGGGAACCATCAGGAACACCCTGGCCAAGCAGTTGAATCTCTTTGAGGGAGTACGCTATCGAGGCATACAGTTCAAGTATCCCACAAGACCCGATGCTCAGATCCTTAATGGTTTAGATCTGGAGGTGCTAAAGGGTCAAACGGTGGCCCTGGTGGGTCATTCGGGATGCGGCAAGTCCACCTGTGTGCAGTTGCTGCAACGCTACTATGATCCCGATGAGGGGAGCATTGTGAGTGCTTCGATTATAAATATGACTGATAAAGATAATTTCAAATATATATTTCCTAATCCAGCACATTGATCACGACGACATCCAGCACGATCTGACCCTGGAGGGAGTGCGGACCCGGCTGGGCATTGTCTCCCAGGAACCCACCCTCTTCGAGAGATCCATATCAGAGAACATCGCCTACGGAGACAACAGAAGATCGGTACCCATGGCGGAGATCATAGCAGCGGCCAAGAGTGCCAATGCCCATAGCTTCATCATCAGTCTGCCCAATGGCTATGAAACCCGAATGGGAGCCAGAGGCACACAGCTCTCGGGAGGCCAAAAACAACGCATCGCCATTGCCCGGGCTCTGGTGCGAAATCCCAAAATCCTGCTGCTGGATGAGGCCACCTCTGCCTTGGACTTGCAAAGCGAACAGCTGGTCCAACAGGCTCTGGATTCCGCCTGCTCGGGACGCACTTGCATTGTCATTGCCCATCGCCTGTCCACCGTCCAGAATGCGGATGTGATCTGCGTCATCCAGAACGGACAGGTGGTGGAGCAGGGCAATCACATGCAGCTCATATCCCAGGGAGGAATCTATGCGAAGCTACACAAGACCCAAAAGGATCACTGAATTCCCATTTTTTATTTAAAGTAATATTCTAATTTTTGTAATTCTCATTCAACACTTGTCTCACCAAAGAAAATAAACTGAATAAACTTTCACACTATACTTTTTCACATCCATAATGTTTACAAATATTGACGGAAGATAAGTATTGCCAGAGTAATGCATAATTGCCATACTTTTGGGTTACCTAAGGGAATTTTTATAATTGTTGTTTAGGTTCACGTAAAGATTTTCTAATTAAGGAAGTGTACGGTTTTTAAGGTGTGTCTATAACCAGCCCAAAACTGACAATTGCTTCGAGTTATAAGATCTGTAATTAGTGTTATCAGTGTGAGTGAGATAATGAGGCGCCTATCTTTGTGGTATCTATAAAAAATCTCCAAGCCACACGACTGATTTTCATAGTCATGGTCAATGGCATAAACTCTGGATAAGAAAGGGGTTATCAATAGAGAATTGGAGAGCTTACAGGCCGTGATATCCATTTAAGAGATATATATATTATTTATTTTTTTAAATTATTACATATTTTAAAAGTATTTTAACAAAGTGATGGATGTTTGTGGTTTTTGGTTATGCATTAATTTTTTGAGAACATGGAAACGTGACCCCAATGGGCACAACTTAGTCTGGAATTCAAATAACGTCAAATTTGCGTAACTAGATTACCATTTCCGCGATTGATGACAACTCGCAAGTGATGGCTCCCATTGTGATTTTTCTGGTATTGATTTATTTATAACTTAATATTTTAAGTTCCCATTAAAATAAATAACATTCAGGACTAACATAAGCTATTATTTAGTTAAATCAATTAATAATATTTTGAAGATTTCAAATAAAATCATCTGAGAATCTTTTAGCCAGAGCTTTGAGGAATGAATAAACAAAAATATATAAATATAAGGAAACTATAGAAATAATTAAACTTTCAATAAACCATCTTTCTAAGTGGATCCTGTTCCTAATGATATCTTTTTTTTCGATTTTTTGTCAATTTCCCATTGGCAACACTGATGCACACACACCTGGCTGCTGGAAGAAATGGGTTCTACGATTTTCCACCAGTCATGCTGAGGGAGAACCTTGAGTAAAATCAATTCAATTGATATTAATAAGCGACCATCCATCTGAGAGTCTATTTGAACTTTAATAGAAACCAAATTTGTAGAAAACTGACGCCATCGCCGCCAGACGCGCCAGTTGCCTTCTGCACTCCCAACGGAACGGAACAGCCGCGCAGCGCGAAAATATTTCCCCGGAACGCTCGTCCGCCTGCTCGTTGGGGAATGCAAAACAATTAAAAGGCTTAAGAGAAAGCAACAAAAAGAAAGATATATATATATATATATATAATAAGAAGATCCCAGTCAGATCCAAGGCAAGGGAGTGTGAGTGGAGTTAATTAGCCAGAGCCGGAGAGCCAAGAACCCATTCGGGGACCATCTCTTCTTCATTGAGTGCAAACGAACTGCGGGCGTTTCGATTTTTGGTTTCGTTCCGCGTGCATTTTCTTAACTATTAATTGACCCCGCCGGTCAATGAGTTTGACTATCATCGAAATAAGAAGGAAAATAATTAAATATCTATACGCAATAGATAATTTGTGACGATCTTACATAAATAATGACGTCGCAGGGCGATGACATCCCGGCGGAGACGGAGACCGAAGCCTCCTCTTCGCCGAAAAAGGACAAGACCAAGGAGAAGGCTCAGCCCATGATTAGCTACAGGGAACTCTTTCGATATACTGATGGCTGGGATTATGTCCTGCTGCTGTCTGGCTTAGTGGCGGCTTTACTGCAGTCCCTGGTCTATCCCATTGCCATTGTGGTCTACAGCGAACTGGTGGCCATGTTCATAGACAGGACCCTGGGACAGGGCACCAGTTCGGACACCATTGGATTGCCTCTCTTTGGGGGAGGGAAAATACTGTGAGTACTAAAACTTATAAAGTTTCAAGATCTTAAAAGAAAGAAGAAGAAGATCTGTATTTTAAGATATTAAAAATAACCAAGATTAGTTCCTATCACTTCTCCTATAACTTAACTTATTGAACTACTCTTTTTATTTGCAAGAAATTATGTAGACAGTGATTCCCATTAAGAGTCACTTGATTAGCAACATGTTTTATATATAAAGAAAACAATGAAGAAAGAGAGAGATGACTCAAGACGTGTTATATTTAAGCGTTTTTTGTGCTACGTATTTTTAAATGAAAATAAACAAAGGATAGAAAAGCCACTTAATTACTTCAGTATATAAAATGAGTTTTACTAAAATGCTCAAAAACCTGGCAACATTTTTCCTTTAGTATATATTTTTTTATAATATATCTTTTAATATTACTTAATCCATAGAACCAATGCCTCGTACGAGGAGAACATGCAGGAGCTGCGCAAGGACAGTGTATCCTTCGGCATCCTTATGACCCTAAATACTCTGTTGATGCTGTTTTCTGGGGTGTACTACGTGGATGCCTTCAACAGATTGGCCTTGAGAATGACTGTCAAGATGCGCAGGGAATTCTTCAAGGCCACCTTGAGGCAGGAGATTGGCTGGCATGATATGGCCAAGGATCAGAACTTTGCTGTGCGCATTACAGAGTACGTTAAATATTGAAATTATCAGAGAACAAAATATTTATAAAAATTAATTCATTTTCCCTAGCAACATGGAGAAGGTGCGCAGTGGCATAGCCGAGAATCTGGGTCATTATGTGGAGATTATGTGTGAGGTCATCATCAGTGTGGTTCTGTCCTTTATTTATGGCTGGAAACTGGCTCTGGCCATTGTGTTTTACATACCTTTGACACTGTTTGTCAACTCAGCAGTGGCTCATGTAAGTGCAATTTGTACATTAAATTATTATTTAAATATCCACAAAATTATTTAAAAAGAAAGGAAAAATCTATTCTATTGAATTTTCTAGTTCAAAATCAGAGAATTTGTTTATCAGAACCGCATGCGCTCTTTTGCCAGCTTTAAGTGATCTTGAAAATGTGTTCAACTGAAAATTCGAAAATAGTTTTCTAAAAATAACATAAGTACCTACAGACTAAACATACATATATTTTCGCAAATGTTTTTCCCTGAGAGTAGTTGTGGGAAAATGTTCTCTGAAAAATTAAATATGCTACCTGTATGTTCAACAAATTTTATTACCTACAGGGTATTATACTTTCAGTCAGAAGCTTGAAACGCAGTGAAGGAGTAATTTCCGACCCTATAAATCATATATATTCTTGATCAGCATCAACAGGCAAATCTTTCTATATATGTAGGAAAGAAAATAACATTTTTGAAATTTTTCCGACTTTTTAAGTGACTTTTTGACCTTGTTGACCATTTGAAAAATTGACAAAATTTTATATATTTTAAAAATTCAATTTGGGTATGCGGATTTATTAAACTATTAAAAACTAGCACAGAACAGCTTTCCGAATAGAAATTAATGCTTTTTCGGCTTAGTTATGAGTATTTTAAGCTGTCGGTTGTAGGAACAGAATATCGACCCAAAGAATGCGAATATGTATACCCTGCAGGGTATTATATTTTCTGTCAGGAGCTTGAAAACCAGTGTAGGCATTTCCGACCCTATAAATCATATATATTCTTGTACAGCATCAACAGGCGAATCTTTCTAGGCATCTTGGGAAGAAAAAAATTTGTGGGAATTTTTTCTGAATTTTTAGGGACATTTTAGCATTGTTGACATTTTGAAAAATTGACATAATTTTAGATATTTTAAAAATTTAATCTGGGCAGATTTATTAAACTATTAAAAACTAGCTTAGAACAGCTTTCCGAATAGAAATTAACGCTTTTTTTACTTAGTTATGAGTTTTTTAAGCTGTGATCTGTAGATAGTCATATATAATATAGATAAATATCGACCTAAACTCTATTATCTTCTAACATATTTAAATATTGCTTACATGTTTATGAATTGGAATATAATATTAGTCAAAACCACAGATAAATTTCTCTTTAATTAGAAAGGTCTAGAGGTTATGTATGACTCTTAAAGCATAAGCAATTTAATTGAATTATTAACAAGTTAACCTTTGCACTTTTTTTGGCATTTTAAGTATGTTAGAAGATAATAGGTTTTAATTAAAGTTATTTCATATTAATTAAAAATTTAAGAAATATGACAATATATAACACAATAAGACTCTAATAAAATGGACTTCAAAACTAATTTACATTGTAAATGTATTCTTATAACCCCTTTTTTCTGTAGTACCAAGGCAAGCTCACTGCCAAGGAGCAGAGTTCCTATGTCCGTGCCAGTTCGGTGGTGGAGGAGGTCATCGGAGCCATTCGCACGGTGGTGGCCTTTGGAGGCGAACGAACTGAATCCGAGAGATACGACTCACTTCTGAAGCCCGCCCTTAAGGCGGGCAAATGGAAAGGCGCCTTCTCCGGCCTAAGTGACACCGTGATGAAGGCCATGTTGTTCATTACGGGTGCCGGAGCCTTCTGGTACGGAGCCAATTTGATTCTATACTACCGGGATCCCAACATACCCATCAACGAACGGGAATACACCCCGGCGGTAGTTATGATCGTGATATCGGGCATTATAGTGAGTGCCAATCAGATCTCCCGCACTTCCCCGTTCCTCGAGACCTTCGCCATGGCCAGGGGATCGGCCTCGGCCATCTTGGAGGTGATTGATCGTCCCTCCCTTATCGATCCTTTGTCCAAGGCCGGAAAAATCCTAAACATGGGTCTCAAGGGCACCGTGGAGTTTCGTGATGTATTCTTTCGCTATCCCGCCCGCGAGGATGTGATTGTCCTGCGAGGTCTCAATGTGGTCGTGGAGGAGGGTCAGACGGTGGCCTTGGTGGGACCTTCGGGTTGTGGAAAATCCACTTGCATCCAACTGCTGCAGCGCTTCTATGATCCGGTTTTCGGTCAAGTGCTGTTGGATGGAGAAGATGTGCGGAAGTACAACCTCAACTGGCTGAGATCAAACATCGCTGTGGTGGGCCAGGAGCCGGTGCTCTTCCAGGGAACCATCGGGGAAAATATCCGACATGGAAAGCCGGATGCCACGCAGAAAGAAGTCGAGGACTCGGCCAAGGCAGCCAATGCTCATGATTTTATCATAGCTTTGAATAAGGTAACAATCAATACCAATTATTCATTAAATATGAATTACAGTAACTCTTATTTCACAGGGCTACGAAACGGATATCAGTGAGAAGGGTGTCCAGCTGTCTGGAGGACAACGCCAGCGTATAGCTATTGCCCGTGCACTCATCCAGCAGCCCAAGATCCTGCTGCTGGACGAGGCCACATCTGCCTTGGATTATCACTCTGAGAAGTTGGTTCAGGCCGCACTGGACAAGGCCTGCAAGGGCAGGACCACCCTGGTGGTCTCCCACCGCCTCTCTGCCATCAGGCATGCCCACCGCATCGTTTACATCGACAACGGTAAGGCCGTGGAGCAGGGCAGCCACGAGGAGCTGATGAAATTGGGTGGGTTCTACCACAAAATGGTCACCGTTCACTCTTACGATGACTCCGCTGAGGAGCTGCTCAACGAGCTGGAGGAAGTCGCCGAGGCAAAAGAGCGAAAATTGTCCTACGAAGTGGAAGGTTTCCATCTGGGCACCACCCGCAACTCCATAGTGTCGCTGGAGAAGAACGCCGAGTTCCAGATGAAGAACATAAATGGTCTAGTTATGCCCACCACCACGGTGGAGGAGGAGTTTGAGGAGATTCCTCCTGGAAATTATATCCACACCTTCTGCCGCATTTTGGGTTGGGCGCGACCCGAATGGAGTTTCCTTATCATAGGCACCATTTGTGCCGGAATTTATGGAGTGACCATGCCAGTGTTCTCCATTGTTCTGGCCGAGTTGTATGGTTCGCTGGCCAAGCCCACGGATGAGGAGGTACTCGACCAGAGCGCCTCTATGGCCATTATCTCATTGGTTATAGGTGTGGCTGCTGGCGTAGTTTGCTTCATCCAGACGTTCTTCTTTAATCTGGCTGGAGTCTGGTTGACCATGAGAATGCGGTGAGTCAAAGAGTGTTTTTACTCGGAACTTTAATATAATATCAATTATATTTCCACAGCTCCAAGACCTTCAGCAGTATAATGCACCAGGAGATGGGCTGGTTCGATCGCAAGGATAACAGCATAGGAGCTCTTTCGGCCCGACTTTCTGGCGATGCGGCCAGTGTCCAGGGCGCCATAGGTTTTCCGCTGAGCAACATCATCCAGGCGTTCACCAACTTCATCTGCAGTATTTCCATTGCCTTTCCCTATTCCTGGGAACTGGCTCTGATCTGCCTCAGCACCTCGCCCTTCATGATTGCCTCAATAGTGTTCGAGGCGAGATTCGGAGAGAAATCGGCTCTGAAGGAGAAGGCGGTGCTGGAGGAGACCAGTCGGATAGCTACCGAAACTATCACTCAGATACGGACAGTGGCAGGACTCCGAAGGGAAGAGGAACTGATCAAAATATATGACAAGGAAGTGGAGCGATATCGAGTGCAGATCTTGAGCCGACTTAAGTGGCGAGGGCTGGTGAATTCCCTGGGAAAATCCCTCATGTTCTTTGGCTATGCGGTGACCCTGACCTATGGAGGACACATGTGTGCCGATGGCAATATCAAATTTGAGACCATTATGAAGTGAGTGAAACCTAAATTTAACTCTATATAAATTATATATTACATTATATTTTTTAGGATATCCAACACGATGCTTTATGGCCTATTTATACTGGCCCAATCTCTGGCCTTTACACCCGCCTTCAATGCCGCCCTTCTCTCCGCCAACCGCATGTATGAGATTATTGATCGCAAGCCACAGATCCAGTCTCCAGAATCCTTTGAGATTCAACAGAATGGCAACGGAACTGCTGCCTATAAAACCAATGTCGTTCAGCAGGGCGTCAGCTACAGAGGACTTAACTTTGCCTATCCCTCGCGGCCCCACCAAAAGGTCCTGCAGAACTTCAATCTGGACATCACGCAGGGTCAAACGGTGGCTCTGGTGGGTGCCTCCGGTTCTGGTAAATCCACCTGTGTGCAACTATTGATGCGATACTATGATCCGGATGAGGGGAAGATTGTAAGAAGAAATCTTTTGGTTACTGGATAGGAGATATTTATCCCTCCCTCTTTACAGCTCATTGATCAGGAGAGCATCCACCATGATATGGATCTGAAAACCCTGCGGCGACGCCTTGGCATCGTGTCCCAGGAGCCTTCTCTCTTTGAGAAAAGCATAGCGGACAATATAGGGTATGGAGACACCTCACGAAAGGTTCCCATGCAGCAGATTATTGAAGCAGCCAAGATGGCCAATGCCCATGAGTTTATCATGTCCCTGCCAGCGCAATATGAAACGGTTTTGGGCTCCAAGGGAACCCAGCTCTCCGGGGGACAGAAGCAACGCATAGCCATTGCCAGGGCAATGGTGAGGAATCCCAAGATCCTGTTGCTAGATGAGGCCACCTCAGCCCTGGATTTCCAAAGTGAAAGGGTGGGTTAAATACTGATACATTGCTATAATAATTATTATATATATATATTCTCTACTCTTAGGTGGTCCAGCAAGCCCTGGACTCGGCATGTTCAGGCCGCACTTGCATCGTGATAGCCCATCGACTGTCCACCATCCAGAATGCCAATGTGATTTGTGTGATTCAGGCCGGCAAGATAATGGAGCAGGGCACTCACTCACAGCTTCTGGCCAAGAATGGCATTTACTCCAAGCTGTATCGCAGCCAGACGAAGGCCTCCTAAGATTCCAAGCCCAGAAATAGGCAGTACATATTCTAGCTAATAGTTGAGACCCAAACCAAACGATTCTGGCCATAAGCAATAAAGTGTTAGGAGTAGACGATAAATAAAGATAATAATTGTTTACAAAATTAAACAAAAGAATATATACTTTAAGAGGGGTGAAACATAGTTTGCAGAATATTATTTATAATAATTTAACTGGAGTTATTTAACTTTTATTTTAAGAATTTATTAAAAGACTGGGGTCATGCACTTAATAATTCAAATCTAATCTCTAATTTCCCATTCAAACAAAAGCTCTTCCGTCACCCAAATGTTTCTCTTTGTTCTCCAAACTCTGGATAAGATAGTCTTGATAAGATTCGGTCAGCCAATATAAATATTAAAATGTAGGCGCATTGCGCCGTTCGATTACACCGCAGTTGGTTCACAAAAATCAGTGAAGATGAACCCCATAATCTTTTTTGTCTTTTTTCTGGGTAAGTAATTCCTGCAGTTCCTAAAATTATATATATCTTAAGAAATTAATTTCTCTTCAAAGTTGTGTTTACTCATGGAGCAAATATTCACCCTAAATCCTGCCCTTTGGAAAAGGATTGTGGCAAAGTGGACGGGGCCAGTGTCATTTGTGGTTTGGATGAGGAAATGGGTTGCATTCAGAAATATCCCTCAAAGTGTCATCTGGATTTAGCAGCTTGCCATCAAGGAAAAGGTATTTAATTTATTAAATATAAACATATTAATGAATGAATGATTTGGTTGGAATAATTTCAAGTGTTCAAGGACTACAGTGACATTTATTGCTCAATGCAGGCATATTTCTGTGAAAAATCACCCACCTATGAACGTTGGACCATTTTCTTTGGCCATGAAGATGATTAAATTGAATTATTTAAAATATTTATGAAACAAATTGTTAAGAAGAGGAAAAGATTTCAATAGTACGCTTATTAAGTTAAAATATTTGCCATAAAATATACAAATATTTATTAAGTTAAGCCTAAAGAGCAAAGTTTATTAGTATTTAAAGTGCATAAGCTAGTCCAATTGTTATAACAAATTTCATTAGTTGCGTTTATTCTTAATTAAATATTGTGTAAAACTGTAAATATATAAAGAGAAAATGTTTTCGCACTTCAGTTAATTGTAAATTTAACTGTAAGTGAGTAATTTACTGCAATATTTATTTTTGTCACCTCGTATCTTATGTGAAATTTACTTAGTTAAAAGGTCCCAAGACAAAAGTAAAATTCCACAAAAAGTGTCCTTCGTAACAGAGTGTGTATAAGTTCAAACATCACCTGGATATAATCACCTTTGAGGTAAGTAAGCTAAAAAAATAATAATACTAACTTTTTAAAAGCAAAATAGCGAAACGTCGTTTTATCAGCGCTATGTAAAATAAATAATAGTTGAATTTTTTATTACTAATAATTATCGGAATTTAAACCCCGTCTTTGGGTGTTTCCTACTCATAAAAAACCCTCAAAATCCACTTCAACCCCAACATAGTCCCGACACCAAAACCAGAAGCAGCCCTTTTCTCCACAAAAAAATTTCATTGATAAATACTTAAATATCTTATGACAAATTATAATTTAGGGGAACCCTCTCTCTATAGACTACATCGACTTTAGGTACGAATACGTGCTAAACGCTTTTTTTGGCCACGAGTTTGAGAGGTATTAGTGACGCTTTTTACCGATTTACAAATGTGTAAATTAATTAGGTAGCACATTAATAGTAAAGAAAATAAAGTAAAAGAAAATAAAAAATCAATCAACACGCACGACGAGCTGTTCACGTGCCAAACGAAAGATGAATACGTCAAAGACCGGTAGGAGAGACGACCTGATGGCTTTTTTCCCCACTCAATGAGACAGAACGACGCCTCGAGCCTTTTATTCACTGCTGATGCTGCTTTTTTCGCTTTTTTGCAGATCTTTTTGTGTTATTTTTGGGGGTTTGCTTTGCATAATCTCCAGCTGCGGCTCCAGCGTGGTTGCCATTGGCCTCCTCCTCCAAAACCAATCGGCGGTGAGCTCCGGTCAAATATAAAAAGTGGACCCATCCGTATTCCGGCTGTCAGTTAATGCCCATCATAACCATGAGAAGTGCCTCACTCATGTTCTATCTGTTCAGCCTGATCTTCATCTGTGGTTAGTGGAGAGATATACATATACTCATAATGGGACTATCCGGATAACCTAATTACTCATTACAGCTATCAGTTGGAGCACCTGCATGCCGGCGAGGAGGCTCAACTGTCAGCTGTCGAAAGGGGAACTCGAAAGGATATATCAACAGGCTCCAGCGGTTAACGAGCGATGGGGCGATGCCGAAATGGACAGTGCCTACGACCCGTGCAAGTTCCGTCGTCCCTAGTAGACCTACTTAAATTCTACGAAACAAAAAGAAAAAGTGAACTCTTTATGTGGCGTGTTCATTATGGTTGTGGCTATGTAGTTCTAAGGTTTAGCATGAAATAAAAACAATCACTTCTTAAGTGATACGTGCGCTTGTATACTTTCCATTCCATCACGTAGAATCGTTGGGCCGGCGACTCGACTATAAAGTCTGACTGTGGCATTCAATTCACTCAGATATCTCTGTGATTTCTGGTCTATAAGGTCGATCTTTGTTATCTTTATCAGTGTCTCTCTGAAGTTTAGCAGGCGCCATGACCTTAGCAAGCAAGATGATTACGCTGTTCCTCGTCGGATGTGTGCTTATGCAGACAGGTAAGTCAAGAAAATCATATAGAGTTCAACTCTCTACTTTAAACTCCAACACCATTTCTTATCAAGTCTTTGCTGGACCCTTGGATAAACTCTTTCGGGAGGATGATGAACGTCTCAACGAGGTCAGCGGAGAGGAGTGGTTCCGTAAGCCCATCCGCCGATGGGAGCGACTCTTCAACAGTGCCGAAACGCCGTCGGGAAGCCGGAAGCAGGTGATCCGTCCTAGTAGAAGCGACAAAGGAGACACCACGGAAAGCTCCAAACATGCCCACTCCATGATCACCTCAATGTTGGGCTTTGTGAGCAGCGTCATCAACTTGGGACGATCCATGGTGAGGGATCAATAAGGAATTTATCAATTTTTATTGCACCTTTCTCTTTTAAGCCAAAGTCTCGTGATTCCACTTGCCAATTGTAGTTGTTAGTTGTAAATAAAATATATAAAAAAAATCTAAATTATTTAAATCCCTTTTTACCAATGAGCTAAAGCTGAAGTTTTTAAAAGTAATTTTTAATGACATTTTCATAATGCACCACCTTTAATTGATTAATGTTTTACATTTCAAACTAGAGGTAATAATGCATCATTATAAAAATTAAAATAAGTTTTATCTTCAAAATATAATTTTATCAAGTATAAGTTCCACAACACACAATGATTAATTCATTATTTTTAACATTTTATAATTTAATTTAACAATCGATTATCAGACCGATCATAGTAAAAATAATTCTAAAGGAATCAAAAATTGATAGATACATATATAACAATATCACTTCACAACGTTTGAAACTTTCAATATTAATTCAACTTCACTAATAAAGACACTTTTTAAAATATTATTATCATTACTTATTATTTTCCATAATTTATTTAACCGACCCATTTCTTCCCTTTTAAAATTTCCATTTCCCGAATTAAGACAGGTTTTAATTCCGCAAAAGCCAAAACAAGACTGAAAGCGAAACAAACTTTGAAATTCGAAATTCAAACCTCTGCCTTCTCAACCTGTCTGTCAGTCTGCTTTGGCAGACAAGGTGTGATATTTTTAACAGAAAGATATATATTTAGGAAAATAAAGACGTCACAATATCAGACACAATTCGAATTCAATTTTAAGCTTCCATCGGTGACGTCTGGCTTTAAAATGAACATTGGAATTGACCCATCTTTGTAATGGAGATGTATAATTTTAATCTTTTGATCAACAGGTTGTGAGAACAGAAATTAATCATATTAATGAATGAATGGCGGAGGAGGTGTTGAACGTAAAAGGAATGACGTCTCTATCGAACCAAGCCCTCTAATGATGTCGGGGATTTTTTAGCTACTTAATTCGAGAAATTCCGTTTTTTTTTGTGTCTCTCTGCTCTCTTAAGACGCTTATGTGTGACGACACGAAATGCGAGAGACAGTGAATGCTAATTTACCTTTTTTTTTGATGGTTTTAGTTTTAGTTTTTATTTATTTTGATTTTTTTTTTCTGTGCAAACTTGTTCGTGCATTGTTTGATCGGCATTAATTGTAAATATTGGCTTATTTGTACAATCAGTCATAACGAGATGCCTTTAGCTGTCTCCAACTGGAACTGGGGTTTCTTTTTCAGGGGAAACTCCAACCAAGGCTCTGAAATAATTAACTCTAGCATAAAATTCTATGGAACAACTCGGCTCGGTTATGGCCAGTTCCACGCGAATGAATTAACTTGTAATTGAATGCCATTCACACGTGGATTTCTTTTGGGCAAAGGGTTGCGCAAAAATCCAACCAAGGCTAGAATTGCCATTCGATTAACTTTACAACAAGTTTATTTAAATAGAATGTTCACATTTGGGTGATTCTTATACTTTTTCCATATAAGCAATTGAACTTTTCTGTCAAAAAAAATAAAAATGTAAAACAAAAGACTGAGGCAACGAACTTGCCTAAGGCTTCTTTGTTTTCTCATCTTTGAATCCTTCCGATATATCGGTTTGTGTAGCTCAAATTAATTAATACTCTCAAGGTCGTTGTTGCCATTCTACAACCAAGCCCGTTATTGCGAATACCAGGTGTGTTTTGTTTATGGTTTTTTTGTGTGGGTTTAAAAGACATTTTATTTGATCACATAAACAAAAGACTCGAGCAACGAACTTGCTCGGAATTATATATAAAATTTTAATAGATTGACTTTTGTGGGCTTATCTCTCTCTCTGTCTCTGTCTCTGTCTCTCTTTCTCAGCTTCCTGGGCTCTCTCTAGCTGACCTCCAGCAAATGGTATTTGAACATTTTGTTCAGCGAACTCATGTTCTGGGACAACTCATGGCAGGCCCGCACCACGCAGCCTTCAATAAAGGAAGATAGTGATGTTATAGCACCCGATAACTGCACGAATCACTCTCGCACTAACCCACTAGATACTTGATCACTCGCAGCAGCACCATGGTGTTGATTTTTTTGGAGGCCAAAAAAGAACTGCGCCCATGCACACGCGCCGAGACTTAGAACCAAATTGAACGCCGATCCGGGCCTGCAATCGCGAATAAGTGAAAAAGTTTGGTGAGCGGCAGTTAGGCAGCTGCTGCTGCGACGTTGACGTCGACGTCGACGCCTAACTGCGGCACAGTGGGTCAAATGCAAAATTGATTGTGCCAAAGGTCAGGCTACTTAGAGAGACATGAGGCTTGAATAGGTTAATTAGCACAAAGAGTTGTATTAAAATATCTAACAGAAACAATTTTAATTGGTTTTGGATCTGCAAAGGACTATGTTCCATTGTGCAAATGTTTTTTAAATATCATATTATGTTATATAATTAGAAATGTTTTCAAAACATGGAATTTTCAAGGTAAAGAATTATTATTTCAATTTCTTAGGTTCTTATTTTTAAGTGTTTTTATCCACTGTTATTCAACATATAAAACTTATAGTTGACGTTGCATTGTCTACTATTTCATTTTTTTTTTTATTTCAACTAGTTCATACAATAACATTTTTAGCAAGTAGGTGTCAATTACCTTCAAGCATATATTTTTTGTGAATTATCGGTCAAGATAGAACAAAACTGAACCAAGCTTATTTATTATACCTTGGCAGATGGTTGTGTATATTTCAGATATAATTTTTCAATATAATGCTATAAACAATTTATATCAACGGTCTGAAGACAACATGTAACAACAACAATATAAATACTTATAGTTTTAGCCAGAAGCTTGTAACATTAAGAGTCGGGTCGATCAAGCCATGTTCGTATGTCCGCCTGTCGATCCTACGCAAACTAGCCTCTATCTCTCTCCCTCTCGGTCACTCTCTCCCTCTCGCTCACTCTCTCCTTCACACTCTTAATCTCCATATTTTTCAGTGTGTATGTGTGTTTGTGTGTATCTTTCTCTCCCTCTCTGTGCAGCTCTAGGGATATCACTTGCTTTCTCTGGCTATCTCTAGAGCTCTCTATTTCTCTCGCTCTCACTTTCTCTGTTCTCTTTACCCGGGGACTATAAAAGGAGGTACACCCACCGCACTGGCCTCAGTCTGTCCGCGGCCTCCCTGCTGTTGACATCGATAGTGATAGTGGAAGTGATTAACCTGCGAACCCAAAAATGTAACCTGATCAATGTAATACATCTGGATAAATAGGAAGAAGCTTACTTTGACGATACCATGAAAAGCCTAATTGTGGTCAACTCTACACTGGAAGAAGCTTAAGCAATGACGTGTCTCTTCACTGCGGTAAGTCTTCACCATTACAATTATATCATATACATAGATTCTAGAGGGATTCAGCCCTAGGTCTAGAATAAGCTATCCGAGCTATCCATTTATTTTCGAACTAATTCCCCATTACTTAATTTGAATTTAATATGATAAGGCATTTCGTATATTTGTATATTTGGGGATATCTACAAACATTTACTTAAAGTTACTTGCCTAACCGAAAAATGAATTGTACACGAAAACCCTTACGATACTTTCTGACCCTGACTTAGTGAAACTTAAGCTACATTATTATTATATTTAAAGAATGAGAATATTTTCAGCTTAGTTATGATCTATTTTCATTCGATCCTATAATTCATTTGCAAACTGCAAGGGTATATAAACTTTAGCTTCCCGAAGTTGGTTTCCTTTCTTGTTTTTAACTCGATATACCTCCACGATATGGTAATTTCATATACGCTTTTAAAGTTTCCATCCCACTGTGCATAGCTACTGTGTGGGCCCAGCTGAATCGAGAACTTCTTGCCGATGTTGCAATCTGATATTTTCCCCCTCATTTTTTCATAAGCGTATAAACAATCCATTAATTTTTTTTTCGGCAATGTTCATTTGCGTGCATTGCATAATGTGGCAGAACAAGACAAACGATTAACGGGCGAGCGATCAAGAGTTACGTCATGAGAACTCGTTTACATGCAGCCATGAGAGGCTGCGATTGGGGCCAAAAATACCTCAAAAAAATAAAACAAATAAAATGAAATAAGAAAAAACGAAATAAAAAGAACCAGAACCAGACACTCGTGGCAGGGTTTATCAATGCAATTTTTCTGTCATTGCGAGCCGCGGAAAACTGGTTTTCCCTCTACGACAAACACAGTTAGCCCCAAAATTTCGAGAAATCAAAAAACCAAGAAGTCAAGAAATCGCCTCAACTTGTTGACAGAGCAGTTGGCAGCGCAGTCGGCGCTTTGGTCATGAATTTTGCACAATTTTTGAGCTGTGATCGTGATTTTCAATAGTGTTGAGCTTGTTTCTCAATTTGGCTCTTCTGATCGCCATAGCAATAAACTTCAAGTTTTCGGCGACGGTGGGTAGCTTTTGACGAGAACTGCAAGTTACGTTGTTTCCTCTAAGCCTTCTCCGTCTCTCCTATTATTTATCTTTTTATTTTTTTGTGGTCAGGCCTCAGCGGCTTTGGTTGGAAGCGATCGAGGAGTATTTTTTCACCTTCGATTTATTGGCGCACTTCTTTTTAATAACGGTTATCCAAACAGTCAGCGAGGCAATTTCAATAAACTGTAACGATTCTTGTAAAGCGAAGCGTGGCCATAACTTAGCCGTAATTGGAGACCATTTAAATTAGTTAGTTTTTAAATTCCTAATTAGGCGGCACGAAGGGGTAAGCACTTTTTCTATTAAATAGTTGTTGCCACAAAAAAGTGGTAGTTATCAAGATATTTATTTGTGCTCAGAGTGCATTTAGATTGCGAAATATTATAATTTATGGTTGTGTCACATATTCTAAGGTATTTTTAATTTTCTGCATCTTGAATAGTTTATAATAAATCACGAATTAAAGCTAACAGCGGTAAGGCGAAGCCTGCATGGGATCGAATTGAATATGAATCATAACTGAGCCAAAAATGTGTTTAAATCAATTCAGAAATCAATTCTGTGTACACTTTTATAAGATTAATAAACCTGTATACTGAACTTAAATTTTTTAAGACAACACTTTCATTCAATTTTAATTATGTAAAAAAAAAATTGTTTAATTTTATACCCCTTTCATGGTATTATAATTTCAGTCTGGAGCTCGCTACGAAGTGAAGGAGTGATTTCCGACCCTATAAATCATATATATTCTTGATCAGCATCAACAGGCGAATCTTTCATGGCATAAAGGAAAGAAAATAAAATTTTTGAAATTTTTTCTGACTTTTCAAGTGACTTTTTACCTTGATGACCATTTGAAAAATTGACAAAATTTTAAATATTTTAAAAATTCAATTTGGGTATGCGGATTTATTAAACTACTAAAAACTAGCACAGAACAGCTTCCCGGATAGAAATGAATGCTTTTTTGGCTTAGCTATGAGTATTTTAAGCTGTCGGTTGTAGGAACAGAATAACGACCTAAAGAATGCGAATATGTATACCCTGCAGGGTATTATACTTTCAGTCAGGAGCTATAAACGCAGTGAAGGAGTCATTTCCGACCCTGTAAATCATATATATTCTTGATCAGCATCAACAGGCCAATCTTTCTGGGCATAAAAGAACAAAAATAAAATTTTTGAAATTTTTTCCGACTTTTTAAGTGACTTTTTGACCTTGTTGACCATTTGAAAAATTTACAAAATTTTATATATTTTAAAAATTCAAGTTGGGTATGCGGATTTATTAAACTATTAAAAACTAGCACAGAACAGCTTTCCGAATAGAAATTAATGCTTTTTTAGCTTAGCTATGAGTATTTTAAGCTGTCAGTTGTAGGAACAGAATAACGACCTAAAGAATGCGAATATGTATACCCTGCAGGGTATTATACTTTCAGTCAGGAGCTATAAACCCAGTAAAGGAGTCATTTCCGACCCTATAAATCATATATATTCTTGATCAGCATCAACAGGCCAATCTTTCTGGGCATAAAAGAAAAAAAATAAAATTTTTGAAATTTTTTCCAACTTTTTAAGTGACTTTTTGACCTTGTTGACTATTTGAAAAATTGACAAAATTTTATATGTTTTAAAATTCAATTTGGGTTTGCGGATTTATTAGGATATTCAAAATTAGCTCAGAACAGCTTCCCGAATAAAAATTAATGCTTTTTTGGCTTAGTTACGGGAATTTTAAGCTGTCGGTTGTAGGAACAGAATATGAACCTAAAGAATGCGAATATGTATACCCTGCAGGGGTATTCATAATTTTAAGCTTCGATTTGTAAAACAAATTGTCATATACAAATTAATATTATAAAATACGAATGTGACAGGAAACAACACCAACTTGCATTAAACAAAGGCACTGATCAATTCCAAAATGTTCCACTCATAATAACGGAACCTGTTTTAGCGATTGTATGTTTCGTTTTCCGCGTTCCTCCGGCCGGCCGGCGAATAAGGGGCAAACAACAAAAAGTAAAAGTAAACAAACGAGAAGAGCAAAACAAAGACTAAAAAAATTCTCTCAATTGCCCCTCTCTCTTAGCTATAACGGAAACTAAGATGTCGCCAGAGGGCGCCACATCGACAAGACCAAGTTGCCAGTGCTCCCTCTATCGGTCGGGGATTGAAGAACTAGCTCTAGATCTACGCTCGAAAAAATTGTAATATAAAACATACAAAATTGTCACTTATTAGATAACAAACATAAAATTATTAAACAAATATACATATATTTCGATCATTTGTATTACTAAGTTTTAAAAACTTATTATTGATCAGAATCAACAGGCGATTTGATTTGCTTTAAAGAAAAAAAAAAAAACAATTAATTAATTTTAAAATATCAGTAAGAAATGTGAATATTTTAAGGTGCTTTTTAACCGAATTTCGATTCTATCCTATAATTCCTTTGTAAGCTGCAGGAGTATATACAGTTTCCTATCTAGATTTAAGGGTAATAATTTTTAATTTTGAAATATTCATTCAGATTTTCCATTTTGCCTAAACCAAATTTGACTTAAATGTTGTGTTTTTTTTTTAGTGTAACCACAAAAGGT